GCCACGGCACTGCTTCCGATGGATCCCATCGCGCTCCGGGCACATATTCAGATTCCTCCCCTCTCTCTCCCGGTAAACAGTTTACCTCCAACATAAACCAAACCGGCCGAACCGAAGGACCGAAGGACCGGAGGACGGAAGGGCATACGGGCCGGGCGTGGCGGGCCAGCGCTGCAGCGACGGTTCGAAGGGCAGGCGGGGCCAGGCAGCCAGGCTGCCATGGAAGGACAAACATCCCCTGTGTGCCGAGTGGAAGGAGCAGGCCGAGCCAGGCCGGGCGGCCCCGCGGGGAGGCAGTCAGGAAGCAGCACGGCCAGCCAGCCAGCCTAGCCCGCAAAGAAGGTCAGGTCGGGCCTGTCATTCTCGAGCGCAGGAGGACGCCATTTAGTTGCCCCGGAAAGAAAATAATCAAGTGGAAAGGTTGGGTGGGACCCGCGGCCAAAAGTTAAGGAGCCGGAACGCCGCACCCGCCGGGAGTTGAACCCGCGCCCGTCGAAGGAAGGCCTCCGCGCCGCCGGTTGACTAGAAGCGCGCTAAAGGTCCTCGAGGGGGAGGGAGGGAAAGAGAGACGTAGTCTCGGCGAGGCGGCGCGAGGCACGATTTATCCATTGCCTGCCTGGAGTCCGCACCGCAAGGCCGCAACCCATTTTGTTTGTTTGACAAAAGTCTCGCGCCGCGCTGCTGTATTGGAAGATTTGTCACAGCCGATGAGTTTCGGAATTGCAGTGCGGGAAGCCCGGCGGAGCCCCCACACTGGCGGGGAGGCAGCGGGGGCCTTGGAGGGGGTCGCGTCGCAGGAACACCATGAAATATGCCCCCTTTGAATGCTGCAATGGCGATGGCTCCCATTCGCTGCACCGCGCCAAAGACAGAGGCCGTCTCTCTCTCTCGCACTCATGGGCCGTGCCTGCAGGGGAGTGAGAGAGACAGCCGCTACAAGCTTGACGCTCTGCCAATAAGCGCGCTGCCAGTGGCGCGGCCTTGTCCGACAGTGCCGCGAAAAGCGGGCAACTCTCGGCAATGATTTCGAGCCGAGTTATTCACTTATTCAACAGCAATGGCCCCGCTGTGCGGCGCTGTGCGTGTATGCGTGTGAGCGTGTGAGTGCGACCGTGTTGCTGGGCTCCACGGCTCCACGCAAGGGACTGGGACTTAATTAAACCCGTGTCGGAACTTAGGTCCGGGCGCTTGGACCGCGTGTGTACGACGGTTGTTCACACCCCGGCACTCTTCCAATACCCTGCGGGCGTTTCCCCGTTTCCCGGACCTGAAAATGACAACACTGCTCGGAGTGAAAAAAGGGAACCACGTGCTATATAAATAATTACTTTATTTATCGTAACTAAACATTCACACTTCCGTCTTTGTAAAACAAAAGCATCAATCACAATAATTCGTACAAATTCGTCACAGTCGCAACACTATTTATCTTGCGATAGGGACAGAATAAATTAAATAAGTTAGTTTTCTGACCCCTATCGTAATACTAATTCTTTGGACAATAACCAGCCCCTATACCGTCAGGAAAAAATTCACGAAGTGTTGATTCCCCTCAAGAACTTGCAGTTTTCGACAGCAAGGTCGTTTAAACGTTTAATAAACAATTGTACATGTTTCTTTTATATTCTAAATAAAGAAAGAGTGGCGATTTATACAACAAAAAAAGCAGTCTTATACTGCGATAACTTTACAGCAGTTTTTACATTTTTCTGTAATCACAATTTAGGTTTTACATTTTAAGTATAATTTGTAATTGGTGACAGTTTGGGGCAGGACATTTAGACTAGATCGCTCGTTTACAGCCGTTAAATAGTTACAATAGTTTAAAGGAGGCGCGCACATCCGCATTTAGGCCATTTTAGAGCTGAAAGATCCAACAAAGAGACGTCGCCTTTCCTCCTCAATGGAAAAAGAAATAGGAAGCGTTTACGGTTGGGACTGTACTCGGACCCTCTCGACTGCTGCGGCGCCCGAGGCTGGGCCGCTGGGCCGGCGACGGCCGCGCGGCAAAGCGAAGTGCCAGTGTTTGACTTGCAGGAATTGATTCGCAGCCACTCTGGGTGAGTACAAGCCGGCCGCCCCAACCGCCCCCGCGGACCCTACCCTGTGTCTGCGGACGTCACCGAAGAGGAAGAGGGGGCGGGGGGAGTTGCAGCCGGCAGCGCCGCCGCAGGCCCTGACCGGACCGGGCTGTTTGGATGCGGTTGACGCTGTGGCCGAGGCCGGGCGCACGGACACAAAGCCCCGCGCCGAGGCCGAGGCCCGTACGTCGGGGCGTGGCAGAGGCCGAGGCCGCGGTCCGCCGCCAGACTCCAGGCGATGCCTCGCGCCGAGGCCAAACGCGTGAGAGGGCCGGGGGAGGGGGAGCAATTTTCGGCAAGCCTTCACCGCGCTGCGCAAAAACAGAAAAAAAGCGCGCCAAAGTGGCGTTCGCGAAGCAGCCCGTGGCGGCCCGGCTGTTTGGATATGAATGGCATGATAATTTAATGTCCACATCATCAACTTGACTCGGCCAGGGACGCGCGGCCCGCGGAGCTCGCGGAGCAGAGCGCCAAGGTGCTCGAGAGACCGGATTAGTTTCGACAGGACGTCGACTTTTATTATTATCGACGTGCGATTTATTTTTAGGGGGCGTTGCTTTGGAACAATTTTAAACGCAAGCGGGAGGGAGTTTAGGAGGGAAGCCCCGTGGAGGGGCTGTTTATTTAAATGCAAGCTCCTGAGAGGTACACAACATAGTCCACGCTGGGTGGTGAGCCTCGTGCAAAACTACACGTCTTGCTACTTAGTAAATGGGTAGAAAAAAATATATTCAACAAGGTGGATGGCCTTCGAGGCACGCAGAGGAGCGTGCCATCACCAGATGAGGGAGAAAAGGATACAAGAGGAGGAAAATACAAAATGGGAAAGAGGAGTAAAATTCGACTCTGAACAGTCCAGGAAACAACACCTGTTCGGTTTCTGAGCATTAAAGAGTGAGAGAAAGAGACATTCCTTGTAAAAATATACTTTTGTCGAGACTTTTGGCTGCGACCAACCAAAGAGTTTGTTGTGTTTTAATTTTAAAACGTAACGTGTTCTCCCATGGAGCGACAACAGCAGAACGCCTCACTGACTTGCTGAGTCCGGGCACAAGCAACGAAGGCATCTTGGACAACCCCAACGACCTGCGCTGCACTGCATTCAAGCTAAGCCAAAGGCGCCCGGGCGGCCCGCGGCGAGGGCTGCTGCCAAGAGTTCCAAACAATTACTACAAAAAAAAAAACAACAAGAAAAGAAAGAGACAATTGGAACTGGTACAGACCCCGCAGCGCGTCCCTCGCCCCCAGCCGCCGCGGGCCTAGGCAGCACGCGAGTGACGGTAGCACGCAGGTGGCATTCTCATGATTAATTTGGCTCTAATGACTAAAACAGCTGCTGCTTCATCGTCTCTGCTAGCGATGTAGGTCTCATGGATTTCACGCCCTACCATCGCCAACTGAACTACTCCCAAAAAATAAGCAAAATCTACCCACTTAACTGTCACAAAAAATGGCAAAAAAAGAAAATTGGCAAAAAGAAAAAAATAAACAATCAAAAAATCCCAGGGTGGGTGTGACGATTGCGTCACATGACGACGCCATTGCCTCATTAACGTGGCGCTCGCCACTTCGGACTCTACACTGTGATTCTATTCGATTCAGGAGTGTGCACTGAGCACCCCCTGTGTGGCCTCTCTGCTGGAACCATCTACTTCAAGGTTATGTGCTGGCTGAGTACCCGTAATGCCGCCGAAATGGCTGCAGCTGCCCTCCGCACCCTTCAGTTCTCATACCCGGCCGCCCTTCCCTTCCCCCTCCTCCCTCCTCGCCCCGCAGGCCCGCCAAAGTTTCCACGCCATGGGTTTCAATGGGCGGTGAGACTTGACCAGACCACCAGGGAGGAGGAAAAGGGGGGGGGGCGCTAACGTGCCGAGGCAGCCATTCTCCTATTGTCCGGGCGCACGCCCTGCGGAAGGGTTTGCTGGAAAGCTGCTGTCTAGCGGATCACTTTTTACTTTTTTTACTAGCATCTACGGGCACTCAGCTTCTTCATCTACTTTTAGTAACTCGTCAAAAGTGCAGTGGAGTGGTGCGCCGCTTTCGACGTCTAAATGCCGGCGACTCGGCGGGGCGGCGGGACCTGCCGGGACTCGAACCCGGGCCCGGTCCCGCCGCCGGCGAGTCGCAACGAGAACTGGTCAATGAGCAATACTTGAGTCTGGAAGACGCAACTACTTTCGTCAGGAAGACTACATGTGGAGTAACGGGGAGTCCGGCGGGGAAGAGCCAATCCAGTCAACCCAACACCGTCGTCTTGCAAGTGCTTTTCGTCCATTGAAAAGTTCCTGTTTGCTCCTCGAGTCCGAAACCGCCCGAACCCGACTGGCGGCCCTCCCCGCCGAGCTCCCAATACAAATCGCGTAACTACAAAGCACTCCACAACGCCGGAGGGAACTACTTGAGTCCACATTTACAAATCCGTCCCCCACCAGAAGATAATCCAATCATAATTTTCTTCTGTGTTTCTTCTTACTTCTTGGCATATAACAAAAATAAATACCTAGCTATGTATTTACAAATCATAAACAGAGTGCCCGTGGTTTCTTCGTGGTTGCTTCGTCGGTTCGACGGGCGCCGGCGGTCCGTGGGGGGGAGTGTGCCAAAGTGTTCCGGCTACACCGGTGCCAACTCTACGCGCTGAAAACGGGTGTGCTTTGTACAGGTGCGCTTCGTAGAGCGGGGCGGCTGGTGGCACTACACTGTGCGTGCGGCACGCGCGACGCGGCGCTCCCGCCGAACCGACACTCGTCTTCCCGGACGACGCCGTCGACCGCCATGGCGGCCAGGGCCGTCTCGATCTCGGCCCGGGCGTCGTCGACGCGCTGCTGCGGTGCGAGGCCGAGGCCTCAGCGGCGACGGCCTCGGACAAGCCGGAGGTGCGGAGGCGGGCAGGGGCAGGCAGAGGCCTAGTACCTCTGCTGCTGGCCCTGCTGGCCCTGCTGGCCCTGCTGGCTGCTGGAGTCGCTGAAAGACCGGGCTCCCCTGGACATGGGGGTCAGGATCCGCGGCGACCTCTGCGCCGAGGACGAGGCCGTCGGCGTGGAGGCCTGCGGGCCCTGCGGCTGCGCGGGGCCGAGGCCGAGCGTGGAGCTGGCGACGGCCTGCGCGGGGAAGCCCGGCTGGGAGAACACGTCCCACCGCTACGAGTTTAGCGACAGCGGCTGCGCGAACACGCCGTCCTCGTGGGACGTGTAGAGCGCCACGGGGTGGCACGACATGGACAGGCTGCTCTCCTGCTGCGCGCGCTTCGCGCCCTGAGACAGACATCACGGGTTCAAGACTCCGCGCCACCTCGCTTTTCCAATGCCTCACACACGACCAAAGGGCGTACCTGTCGGATCTTGGTGTAGGAGAGCGTGGCGATGAGGATGAGGAAGACGACGCAGCCCATGCAGGAGCCCACGATGAGCCCCAGCCGGCGCGTGAGGAAGGAGCCGGTGGACGCGCCGGTGGGGTCGCCGCCGTCCAGGGTGCGGACCTCGGCGCAGCGCGACGTCTGCGAGTCCACCAGCTGCAGCGCGCTCGCACTGCGGCCCTCCACGCGCCCGTCCTGCGCGTCCGCGTCGCTGCAACCACGGCAAGCTCAGTCAGGGGGCACTCCACTGTCGCGAGGGGTGTCCAGCAGGGGCGTCAGGCAAAACCCACGTACCTGATGATCCTCGTGGCGTTGGCCGCGGCCGCGTCGGGGGTGGAGGCTGGGGCCGCGGGGTCCGAGGCCCAGCCAGCCACGGCCAGCACGCAGATGAGGTAGCGCGTGTTGGGGTCCAGCGAGCTGAGCCGCGTGCTGCGCGCCTCCCTGCCCAGCATGCGGCCGCGCACCTGCAACAAGAACACACCGCCGTCAGTCTGTGTGTCAGTCGCCTCTATCGCACTGTCTCTCTCGCACTCATGGGGCGTCGCGAACAGGTGAGAGGGACACAGAGCGACTCTCGGAATGTGCTGGGGAACACACTCGTTGCGGTGGCCCAAGTCAATGAAGGGCACCACGTGCTGTGCGCGTGGCCTATATTGGCGGCGGGGTCGGACGGCGAGGTGACGAGCCGCGGGCACGGCTCGGGCTAGCCAGGGCTAGCTGGGGCTAGGCACACCCTCGCCCTACATAATTCCCCTGACCCACAAGGCGCCCAAGGCCGGGACCAGCCGGCTCTAATTTCCGCGGAGCAAAGGCGCTTCGCAAAGGCCCGCCCCGCCCCGCCCCGCCCTGGGCCGCATTCCGGTCTGTCCCGCACTAATGATTGGCGAGAGCGCCCCGCCGCGCCCCGCCCCGCCCAACTCCATATGGGCCCCGGGGCGGCACAGCGGCACGGCATTCCGGGAGGGGCTCGCCAAAGGTGAGCGGGGCGCGCGAGCGGCGCCGCGCCTCGCCTTGAAATTCAAAACACAAATTGCCATCCCGCCCCGACCTGTAGGCTTGTTCCGACCAGGGCGCGCGCTCTCGCACTCGCGGGGAGGTGCGTCCCGCAGGGGTGCGAGAGAGACCGGCAGAGCGAAGATGAAGCGCTGTTCGGACTTCCCCGGCCGGCCGGAATCCGGAAAGACGTGGGCGGTGTTGGCGCTCGGTCCGACCAGAGGGTCCGACCTGAAATTCCTATCCGGATTTCGCGCTGCGCGCCGCTTTCCCGGCTCGTCGCTGGAGCAGGCGAAGAAAGGGAAGGACTGGCCGGCTGGCCAAATAATTACCGAGACACGCCGGGCTGGCACCGGCAGCACCGGCCGGCCAATGAATGGCCCGGATTACGGAGCACGCCGAGCACGCCGAGCAGGAGAACTGGAGCCGGGGATTAAATGCGGGTGTACCCGGAAGAGTGGCGCTGCGCGGCGCGGCACGGCGCGGCTGCGAGGCGCCAAGGGACGGCAGGCGCTGGCGCGCGCTCGAGCTGAACGTCATAGCGGGCCGGGCCCTCCAGGACCTCCCCTGCCTGCCGCCCACCTGCAGTGCCCTTTGCCTTTATCCCGGAAGTGCTCCGCCAGGCGCGCTACGCGCTACGCTGTACGTGACGGCCGGGCCGGGCTGACGCGGTCGTTCCTGGACCGACTTCCACTGTCGGCGTCGTCGTGGCTGCTCGACCTTTGACCCTTTCTGGCGTTTCGGTGCGGCCGCGCGCACGTAACACGTGCACGACCCCGCCAGTGCCTTCGCCTCCCCGCGGCCCGCCGCCAACCCCGCCGAACCTTTGACGTTGCGGCCCCGGGGGCGGGGACGGGGGCGCTTTGTGCTTCAATAATGCTCATCGCCATGTCGGATCGGGATCACTGCTCCGGCCCGGCCGGCCCGGCTTTACACTCGCCAATGAATCCTCCCCGGGCCATGCCGGGCTGGGCCGAGCCACCCTCTGGGGCTTTTCAGGTGCTCCAGCTCGCCCAGACCCAGCGGGACCCAGCGGGACCCAGCGGCCCGGCAAAGCCTGCAGACTTTGCAGACGGTTTACTTCTAGCTTCGAGAGCGCCGGGGGCAGCTTGCTCGGGGCTCTCCCCGGAATGACTGGTCGGACGCGGAAGCAGCGAAAGCGGCGGCGAGGGATCGCAACGGCGCCCATCATGTTGACGCGCTGGGCTGTTGTTTCCCAGTGCGGTGCTCTGTGGTAACGGCTCCGCATCACCGCCCCGCCGGGCCGGCCGGGCCGCGTGCGCGCGTTCTCACACCGGCCGTGTGTGCGAGTTTGCGCGTGAGTGTGTGCTTAGTAATATTCGCCGGTAAAGCGCCTCCGAAGTAAATACGCTGCGCAAACTCCTCCCCTCCCCTAAATCCCCGGGCCGCCCTAGGCCGCCAGGCCCAGCCAGGCCACCCTTGGCGCGGCAGACAACGACGGCCGCCTCGCGTCGCTTTCGCGCAGAGCCGCGCGCCGACGTGTGGACAAACAAGGAGACCGCCGGCGACAACAACAGCAAGCCAGGACCTACACGGGAAGGAAGAAACAACAACAACAAGGAAAAGCCGATACCGCCGACACGATCAATGATGATGGCGAGAATGAATATGCTCGGCGGGAAGTGACTTTCCGTTCCCCACAGCGCCGCCAACGCGCTGACGCCGCAACTTGTTCCACCCGGGCGCCTCCGAGCAGGCGGAGCAGGCCCTCTTTTCCTTGACGGCCTCCCGATGTAATGAGGGTGGCGAGGCGAGGCGAAGCGCGAGGCGGTGCGCGTGGTGATCCATATACATGAACATGACCGTGCTTTTAGCGCCCGCCCGCCCCGCCCCGCCCCGCCCCGCCCCGCCCCACCCCTGACCGGGCGCAACCTCCGCGGCGACCGGGGCGACCCCCCGTCTCGTTGGGGGCGCGCCAAGCCAAGTGGCGGCCTGGCGGCCTGGGCGGCGGAGCGGCAGCCAAGACGCGCGTCGGGGCATTCCCTACATGCGCATTATACATTCGGCGTGCCAGCAAGCCGCGGGGGCGGGGCGAGGCGGGGGCCGTCCCTACAAGGCGGAGGTGGCAAGTGTGCGCGCCGGGTCTGCCCAGAATCTTTCATGACGAAAAAAAACACCTCGTTCAGGTTACAAGTTTTCAATATATCTTTTTGGAGGGAAAAGAGTCAAGGCAGGCAACAAATTGAAAGTGCAGCAGACTTGTCCGTCCACCCCTTTTATGTGGATAACGATGTCACGGCCCCATCCCCCTGGAGGGCTGCGGCCGGCTGCGGCTCGCCTCGCCCCTTCATCGTGGTGCTTGCCGCCGCCTCGCTCGCTCGGCTGGGTGTGAATGACGTGGAGGGAAAACAAGGTCGTCGTCAAGCTCGCCGAGGACGCTGCCTGCTGCCTCGCCCGGCCTCGCCCGGCCTCGCCTCGGACCATGTTCTGACCGCAGTGCCCGCCCCACCCCGCCGCACCCCGCCCCGCCCAATTCACTGCAGTACATCGCCAGCGCAGGGCGGCGGCCCGACAGCCAGCCGACAGCCGCCGACCGCTCGCATTCCCAGCCCGACGTGGACGAGCGCAATGTAGCCGGAATGCTAACGCGGAAAACGACATGAACTATTTCACGCCTTCATTTTCACCGTTGAAGGCTTGCCGTACGCGCACGGAGTGGAGAAGCGAAGGACTCCGCCAACACGGCGCCTGGGAAGCGGGCAGCCCGCGCCGTGCCCCCGGCCTGGCCCGGCCTGGCCCCGGACCAAAGAGAAGAAGGACTTAATGAAATGCCGGCAGCGAGGGAGGAGTGCGATGCTGGAAAGGGGAAGGGGGGGGGGAAGCGGTGACCGTGACGCGTAAGACTGCTCCGCCCCGATAAGCCGCATAGTAGCAGGTAGGGAAGCGCGGAGTAGTTTCCGGGGAAGGGAACGGGGTCGAGCCCCCCGGGGGCACAGGGGCGGGGCGGGGTGGCACTAATGGGGTGGACGGGCCGTGATACGCCTATCCATCCCCGTGTTGGTCTTCGAGTCCGCCAGACGGCCGCGGACGTCAGCGCCAAGAAGGCCTCCATCCCGGCGCGACGCTTTGCTGCGGGGCTGCCCGCTGTCCGGAGGGTGCAGCACTGCGCACAGTGTAGCCCCCCAACCTCCCCGCGGAACTCCGCAGCCTGCAAATACCCGGAAATGCGAGCGAAACGCGCTGTGCCGTGGGTCTGTGTGTGCCGCCTGCCGCCGCGTGTCGAGCAAAGTGCCAAATTAGTCCTGCCGGCTGTGTGCCTGCACTCGCCACTCGCCCATGCAGATGGGGAAAGTTGCAGCGCACCCGCCGGCGCCACCGCGACACACCACCAAAACCCCGCCGTTGGAGGGCGCGCGTCGTCCTCGCCAGCGCGCCAACCCCAAGGTCACGCGTTCGAGTCCCGCAAGGGGGACGCCCGGCGGCCGGTATCATGCCCAGCACGAAGCGGGCTGCTTTATTTTTTCTTCCCCCTCGACTGGACGTGGTCGTGGGGTGGTCGTCGAGGCCGTGCCGCCGGCCGTGCCGCGGGCCACAACGACGCCGGCTGCGGCGACAGCAGCACCGCTATCGCAGCGCGCGTAGCCCAGCAGGCCGAGTCGTCGCTCCGTCTCTCTCGCACTCATGGGGCGTCCCGTACAGGTGCGAGAGAGACAGAGCGACGCAGACGACTTTCGGAGCCAGCCTTCCACAGGTGCGGCGGAGGAGCGGAGGAAGAAGAGGGTGGGGCAGGTCAGGCGGACACCTCCCCGGAGACGGACACGCCTGTAATACCTCCGCCGTGGCCGGCCAGCCCGGCGCCCTGGCCAGGCAGCCAGCCGGGCCGCACGGACACCGTAGATAAACAGATTTATGGGGGATTTGGCTCCCACTCCCTCGCGGCCCGCGAGCTGGTGCTCGTATGCAAAGCGGAAGGGCAGTCTCAGGGCGGCCGGTCGGGCCTCGCACTCGGAGGGCCTCGGACAGGGCCTCGGACAAGGCCTCGACGGACGGCCCCTCGGGGACCACGCCCTGGCCTCCGCGCCACTGCCAGGGACTGCCAGCCGATTGACTTTAAGGGGCATTAGCAAATTCTCGCCGCCCTGACCGGCCCTAACGACGGGGTGTGGTCGACTGCCAGCGCCAGCCTAGGGGGCGGCGTGAGGCGGGGCGGGGCGACTGCGGCCCGAAACGAGGTTCGAGTTGCTACAAGTTGCAGATACTGGGCGAGACGTGGACAGACTCGGAGCGGCGGCGTGGACACAGCCAGCAGACTGATACCAAACGGTCCGTCGCTCTGTCTCTCCCACACTCTTGGAGCATTGCTCTCCGGCGAGAGAGAGACACTACGACGGGGCTCCGTGCTGAATCGCTCTTTCTCCGGCCAGGCCGTGCCGTAACTCACGGCCCCGGGAGCGGTTTTAAAATCCGCGCGGTTCTCCCTTTTCGTGGAGTAAGGTGACCCCACTTTATGCTGGGGCCGACGCCCGCTGCAAGGCGACAGAGCGATCGTTCCGTCGCCATTTCAGCAACATTTTAGCACATAATGTATTGAGAGTAACAGAAGTAAAATCAACACTTTAAAGAAAATGTAAAGAATTGCTGGGAGTCGAACCCTAGCCCCTGGAGGTGCGGGTCGACGCCTCAGAGCGCTCAGCCACAGTTGCTTCAAGAGAGCATGTCGGAGGTCCCACTCCCGGCTCCACACTGTGGCATCCTGAGGATCATGATCACGCGCAGGGGTTAGGGTTCGACTCCCAGCAATCCTTTACATTTTAGGAGTGGCTTTCCCGATGCGGTTTGGACCCGTTGCGCCACTCAGCTCACCCGGTGAGCCGCGGTGGCCGAATGCGTGGAGATGTCTGAATCCTACACTCGGATCGAGCGATCGAATACTTGCTTCCCGCTATTTTTGTCTGACTTTACGGTTCGGACCAGCGGCTTCAAAGGCTCCCCTTCGCACATCATCACCCATGGGCCGTGGTGGCCGAGAGCGCAGAGGCGTCGGTTCCCGACCGCGGGGTCCGGGGTTCGATACCCAGTACGGTGTCGAACATTTTGACCAAGCTTGCATCGCAAGAAGGCGGTTCAAGTATACCAAATCGGCCGGCGTTCAGTGTGCCTCTCATAGCCCAGTGGTTCCGCTGCTGGGCAGGGTGACGCAGACTCCTGAGTACCAGTAGCATGGCCCCTGAGTGGGAAGGGGGCCGGGAACGAAACCCGACTACTGGGAAAGGTGGCAGCCTGGCCTACTATGAGAGGACTCCTCCACATCACAGTTGACGTGACCAATGACGGGGCCACTGCGGTTTAACTCTGAGGTTGCTCCTGTGATGAGATGGGGGAACCACTGGTCCACCAAGCCAGCGGGGAAGAGGGCCGGTTCGCCGGGGTGCCCTCTTTCGCTGAAATTTTCTTTATATTGTTCATTTTACTTGTGTTACTGTGAACACATTTTGTGTTAAAATGTCTTTGGATTTGGAACGCTTTGTCCGACTCACCTTGTCGTCGTGGTCCAGCTTGTGGTAGGCCACGCGGTAGCCCCGCAGCGGCCCGGTGGCGCCCTGCCACGACACGAGCACAGAGTCGGGCTGGATGTCCTGGATGGCGAGCGCCACCACCAGCTGCGCGCCGCAGAACTTGGGCGGCTGCAGGTCCAGGAACACGGCGCCGCGCAGCTCCTTGGGGGACTCGCAGCGCAGCTCGGGCTGCGACAGCTTCTGGTGGTCCTGGAACCACTGCCACAGCTCCCACTGCTGGCAGCCGCAGTGCAGCGGGTTGTCTGCGAAAAGAACAGTCATTGGTCGTTACTCGGCGGCCAGGCGGCATGACGTCTGCGTCAGGACACTGTAGTAACACGGCCTCGAGCGGCAGGTACCGCAGGCATTGCTTATTGATGACCGACTGGCCGACGGGCAGGGGAGGGGGATGGGGCGTGGGAGAACGAGCGGACGGCGTCCCGGCGGCGTCCTGGCGAAGGACTAATTCGAGCTGCCGGATATGATTGGCGGACGAACAAATCCGGCATTAGCCGCGAGGGGCGTCCACCATGATTAACGCATTGTCCGGCTCGGCGCTGAGGAGCTGAACAGGCCAACTAGGCCGTCGAGGAGGAGACACAGCCGCTCGTTAATCCAGTTAATCACGTAACGGCGCGGCAGAGGGGAGCAGGGCGCGTGTTCAAGATGAAAAAAGCTGTCGCGGCGGCTCCAGTGTAGCGGCGCGGGATGGTGTGCGCTAGTGTGCGTGTGTGCGAGGAGGAAAAATTCCCAGCATTACGCCTTCACGCACCGACGTGCGCCGCGTCGAGCTGCGGGGACGCCTCGCCGCTTACCATGAAAAATCTCATCAGCGAAGACGACGCGGGCGACAAACACCAGCACCACCGCCTGGCGGCCCTTGCGGCCCCTGCGGCCCCACGGTGGGGCTCTCTGCTCCGCGGCGCCTCGAAGCAGGGCGCGAGCGAGGGGGAGGGGGAGGCAGGCAGGACCCCCGGGCAGTACAGCGCTCGCTCCCCGGGCCCTTCATCATCCCCTTCCGAATCCCCTATTCGCTTCCTGCCGCCCCCTCCCCCCTCGCACCGGAACTGCCCCCTCCCCCCTCCAACACCGCGCCCCTCCATCCTTTCCTTCTCTTGGACCCGGGCCCGGCTCGGCCGGCTCGGCGCGCAATCATTGAATAAGGGCATTTTGTTGCCTCAGTTTAAAAGCGCCGTAGAAGTTGGGCCTACGGAGCTACACTGCGAGTCGAGTCCGAGGCGCCGAGTCCGCGCCCCGCTCGGCCTTACGGAAACAGTTCAAGGACGAATGCCGCCGATGCCGCGCTGCTTGCTGCCAGCACCGCCCAAAGTTAACGCTCACCAATTTCGTTTTATTCCCATCCTCGCGCGCTCACTTTTGCCATCTCTCTCTCTCTCTCTTTGCAGTTTCTCTCTTTTTCTTCTTCGCCCTGGCGATTTTTTTTCAGACACATGGCCAGCCCTGGGCGAAATCAGCATTGCAAACCAGCACCGGTCCTCCTGCGGCTGGCTGTAGCTGCTAGCACCGGCAAGGCGGGCCAAGGCGAGGCAGGCCGGTCTGGTCTGTCTGGTCACTCGTTGAATATTCGGCGGGATGCGTTTTAGCGCTCCCTCCCCGCTCGGCTGGCTCGGCTTGCTCGGGCGCGCTCCATCTGCCCCTCCCTCTGGCACGAAAAAATAAAAATAAAAACAGGATTCCAGAAAAATAAGGAAGGAACGCGCCCCGCTGTCCGCGCGCCGTGTTGCGCCCCGCCTATCTACGGCCAACTCGGCTGGATTAGCGACGCGGGCGTGCCCCGCCCCGCCCCGCCCCGCCGACCTCACCCCGATCTGCAAACTTTCCGCCATTTGTAACCCCCGGGCTTCGATCACTGACTGTATCAGCCCGCCCCGTCCGGCCCCGCCCCGCCCCGCCCCGCCCCGATTCCTCTCCTTGCCATCCCTGCCGCCGCTGCGTGGCTCCGTGGCCGCGTGGCCGCGCGACCTCGCCGGCTACAAATTTGCATTTTTCGCCGCGCACTGACTGCCTTTATCGCAACTCCAAATCCCGATTACGGGCCGCTGGCTTGGCGGGTCGCGGGGGTGGCGGGGCGGGCCGCGATGCCAGTCGGAGGAAACGGTCTCGACGGCCTTGAGGGAGCGCGCCGAACAAACTGCATGACAGGAATCAGGCCAACAGGTTCGCTCTGGCTGTCTCTCTCGGCCTCTCGGCGCAGGCGTCCCCACCCTCCTTCCCCGGGCTGCCCGTAGCGAGGCTGGCAGCGAGGCTGGCAGCGAGGCGCGGCTGTTGACAGGGACAACTTGCATGACGGGGGCCTCGGCGGGGGGGGCGGGGCCGCGACGGATGCAGGCAGATTACACAGCGGGGCGCGGCGGGGCGCGGTGGCTGCTGATGAATGCAGCGGCCCAACATCGCCCCATGATCGATCGCCGCACCACCGGCCCGGGGCACGGCGGGGCACGGCCGCATCAATGTCCTCCGGCACGGCACGGCACGGCACGGCAGGGCACGGGTCTCGTCACCGCGGCCCGCGGTTTGCGTCCCGGTGGGGCCGCATCGACAAATACGCACGTGCGGCGGCGTGCCGTCGTCTGGGGGCCTCACTGCGCTCACTGCACGGCCTCACCCCGGCCCACCATTAGAGGCCGTTCGGCACAGCGACGCACACGCGCCGCGCGTGCCGTCTCTCTCGCACTCGCAGAGCGCCGCGCCGCGGAGTCGCCCTGATGACTGGATAGCCTCTGCCGTCGTCACGTCGTTATCGGGCGGCCCCTGACGGGCCGACGGGCCGGGCCTCGCGATGCAGGCGGTATGAGACAAACGACTTGGAAAAACAAAAACAACAACTAAAGCACACAGCGAGGACAAACAGGGTTCCCGCTTGATCAATGGGGCGGAACGTCAGGGGGCATAATTGATGGCGATGTCGCACCAAATTATACGTGGCGCCGCGCGGCTGCGGGCACACACGCGGAGTACCAACACGAGCCGAGCCGAGCCGAGCCGGACCGGCTCAGTAAGCACAGAGCGAATCAGGCCCACGGGCAGACAGGGTGGCTGCAGTGGCGTGGTGCACGGCGCAGAGCCCACCTCGGCCGGCACCGAAATTAAAAACGAAAACAAAACAAAACAAGAACAAGGCCAGGGGGAGCAACACCACATTCTGCATGCGAAAGAGCCCGCTAAGCAGACGATGCGGTACGGTGCGGTACGGCAGGGCGAGCCCTCCACGGGATTATGTTATGAATGCATGTACGCGGGCAAGAGGGCGCACAGCACTCTGGCAGTTTGAAAGTGGGTCCCGTGTCGCCTGTCTCTGTTTCCGGCGTCGGGTGAGAGATGAGTGCACCCACCTTCAGTGCGCAGGCTGCGAATCTGCGTCTCCAGCGGGCGCAGCGCGTTCAGCGGCAGGTTCTCCAGGTAGTTCTGACTCAGGTCCAGCGTGCGCAGCTTCTTGAGCGGCTTGAACGCGTCGCTGGCCACGCTGGCGATGTGGTTACCCGCCATGTGCAGCTCCTCCAGCGAGTCCAGGTGCCGGAAGGTCTTCTTGGTGACGCGGGTCACCTCGTTGTGCGACAGGTCCAGGATCTGCAGCGACTGCAGGTCGGCGGGGAACTCGTCCGTGTCCTTGAGGTGGTTGTGGGTGAGGTTGAGCACGCGCAGGAAGCGCAGGCCCTGCAGCCGCTCCTGCGGCAGCATCTCCAGCACGTTGTGGCTCAGGTCCAGCGTGAGCAGCTTGGGCACGGAGCGGAAGGCGCCCGGGGACACCCTGGCGATGCGGTTGCGGCCCAGGAAGACGTGCAGCAGCGCGGGGAAGGCGTCGAAGTCCGTGGACGTGATGAGGGTGAGGTTGGTGGCGCGGATGTGCACCTCCTGCAGCGCGGGGAAGCGGACGGGCGCGCTGCCGGCCGGAGGCGCGGGGTCGTGGATGCTGGTGAGCGGGTTGGCCGTCAGGTTGAGCCACTGCAGGGACGGCAGGTTGCGCTCCGACACGGCCTCGCCGGGCAGGTGCAGGAAGCGGTTGGCGGACAGGTCCAGCTGCCGCAGCGACGCGGCGGCGTGCAGGAAGTGCGCGGGCACGGCGGACAGCTGGTTGCCGCTGAGGTCCAGCAGCTGCAGCCGCGTCTGCGCGGCCGAGAAGGCGCCGTCCAGGGCGGCGATGGCGTTGTCGCGCAGCACCAGGTCGCGCAGGTTGTGCAGCTCGGCCAGCTTGCCGGCGTCCAGCGCCGTCAGCCGGTTGCCGGACAGGTCCAGCAGCTCGAGGCTCGACATGTTGGCCAGCGCGGCGTACGGCACGGCGGCCAGCCGGTTGCCGCGCAGCCGCAGCTCGCGCAGGTTGTCCACCGCGTCGAACAGGTCCGCGTCCAGGCCGGTGATGGCGTTGCCGGACAGGTCCAGGCGGCGCAGCCGCCGGTTCTCGGCCAGGAAGCCGGCGGGCAGCTGCGTCACGCCGCAGCGGTCCAGGAACAGCTGCTCCAGGCTGGGCAGGCCGTGGGTCGCGTTGGCCGGGAAGCCGCTCAGGTCGTTGCCGGAGGCGCGCAGCACGATGAGCGTGGGCACGTGCAGGTCCAGCAGCGCCCGCGCGTCCAGCAGGTTGTCCTCCAGGTTGAGCTCGTGCAGGCTGCCCAGCCCCGCGAACGTGCCATTGTCCACGCGCCGCACCGAGCAGTTGCGCAGGTTGAGCATCTCCAGCGGCAGCCCCTGGTCGAACACGCCCTCCGCCAGGGCGGGCAGCGCGTTGTCCGAGAGGTCCAGCGCCTTGAGCTTCCGCAGCGTGGCGAAGCTGCCCGTCTCGATGGACCGCAGCCCGTTGCCGGCCAGGTTCAGCTCCTCCAGGTCACCCAGGTCGGCGAAGGTGCGCGTCGACACGTTGGCCAGGCGGTTCAGGCTGAGGTCCAGGAAGCGCAGGGCCTTCATGGGCTGGAACGCGCCGTCCTCGATGGCCGAGATGCTGTTGTTGGTGAGGTACACGCGCTGGATCTGCGACAGGTCGCGGAACAGCGCGCGGCCTACACGCGTCAGGCGGTTGTGGCCCAGCCACATGATCTGCACGCTGGACTGGCCGCGCAGGCTGTCCTTGTGCAGCGCCGTGAGCGTGTTGGCGTCCAGCTGCACGGACACGAGGGAGTGCGAGTCGTGCAGGAACACGTCGCCCAGCGCGGCCAGGCTGTTGCCCTGCAGGTTGACGTGCTGCAGGCTCTGCAGCGACCGGAAGGCGCCCGGCGCGATGCTGGCCAGCGCGTTGTTCTGCAGGTGCAGCTCCAGCAAGTGCGGCAGCGGCTCGAACACGCCCAGCTGGATCTCCGTCAGCTTGTTGTTCTGCAGGCGCAGCTCCCGCAGCGCGTGCGCGCGCGTGAACGTGCCGGGCTCGAGGCGCGCGATGCGGTTGTCGTCCAGGCTGAGCGACGTGAGCTTCTCGCTGCGGGCCAGGGCGTCGCGCGGCACCGCCGACAGGTAGTTCTTGCTGAGGTGCAGCTGCGACAGGTTGGGCAGCGTGGTGAGCGCGCGCGCGTCCAGCCGCCGGATGGCGTTCTGCTGCAGGTACACCACGGTCAGCATGTACGAGTCCGTGAAGGCGTCGCCCGGCACCTCCAGGATGTTGTTCTCCGACAGGAACAGCTCCCGCAGCTCGGGCAGCTGCTCGAACACGCCGCCGATGTGGTGCACGTGGTTGTGGCTCAGGTCCACGGAGCGCAGCTTCTTGTTGGCGCGGAAGGTCTCGGCGTGCAGCAGCACGATCTTGTTGTGGCTCAGGTCGATGAACTCGAGGTCGCGCAGCGAGCGGAACGCGTCGCGGTGCACCGTGCCGATGGCGTTGTAGTGCAGCGTCAGGGTCTTGAGGGCGGGCATGGGGCGGAACGCCTCGCCGGGCAGCTCCTCGAAGCTGTTGGAGCTCAGGTCCACGAACAGCAACGCGCGCAGCTCGGAGTGGCCGTCGTCCGGGATGACGGTCACCTCGTTCCACGCGAGGCGCAGGCTCTGCAGGCGCACCATCTGGCGCAGCGCCGTCATCGGGAAGGTGCGCAGCTTGTTCTCGGCCAGGTCCAGGTCCGTGAGCGTGTCCTCCAGCCCGGCGAACGAGTACTCGGACGTGCGGTTCAGCAGGTTGCCCTTGAGGTTGAGCTTGGTGAGCTGCAGGCCGTGGAAGCAGTAGCTGGGCAGGTCGGCGATCTGGTTGGACTCAAAGTCCAGGTGGCGCAGCTCGGACAGCCCCGCCAGCGCCTTGCGCGGCACCTGCTGCAGCCGCGCCGCCACCACGCTCAGCGACACGAGGTGCGCGCGCAGCCCCAGGAACACGTCCTCGCTCAGGTCCTCCAGGTTCGAGTTGGAGATCTGCAGGCTGCGCACCACGGCACCCGGGGGGAAGAGGTCCGCGGTGAGCGCCGTCACGCCGGCGTCCAGCTCGTACACGCTCAGCGACTTGACGGGCTCCGACACGAGCTGCAGCAGCGCGCGCAGCGAGCCCAGCGACGCGCCCTGGCACTCGAGGAAGAGCGCGCCCTCGAACGAGTAGCACGGGCATAGCTGGTTCTCGGCCAGGGACGGGCAGTCCGCGGAGCACGGCGCCGAGGCCAGGAGCAGCAGCAGCAGCGGGGCCAGCGGCAGCAGCGGGGCCAGGGAGAGACTCATCGCGCCGCCAGGGCCCATGGCACCGCGAGCGGCACCGCCATGCTTGGGGTGTCAGCCTGCCGCACCTGCAACAAAAACAAAACAGTTGGCCCTGTAGCGCAGTGGATAGTGCGTCGGGTTTCAAATCCGAAGGTCACGGGTTCGATCCCTGCACAGATTTCTTTTTTGCTCCACAGCATTTCTCTTAGCCAGCCATTCCGCCGCCCGGCGTCCTGGCTTGGCAGAGCCCTGCATTCGGACCGGCCGCCAAGAGGGACTGGCGACCCCAAAGCCCATCGCTCAGCCGGAATGGTGACACTTTGCGAGATTCAGAGATTCACGTGACCGAACCAATTTCAGCTTAAAGGCGGTGCTAATGCAGGTAGTGCATCGCGGGCCATTGTGGCCGGTAATCTATGGGTGTGGGGGCGTGCGTGCCGGCCCAGCCAATGCATCACGTGGCCGCGGAGGACGAACTGCAGCCAGGACTGCGGCGAGCCGGCACCCCGGGGCCACGTCGGGCCATGCCGGCCGGGGCACCGCACCTCCACCGTGCCAGCGCGCTTGGCTCGGCCAGGCTTCGTCTTCGCCACAACGGCGAGCATGCCGGTCACGGACCGCGGCCCCGCGGCCCCGCAGTCTGAAACCACGTCCTGCAGCGCGGCAGCGCCTGGCAGCGCCCTCCCGCGAGGCGCGGCGCACGCCGGTACTACATCTCTCGGAGGTAATTTTCATGGAGATATCTCGGGCCTCCCCGTCCTTCGCGACGAGGGTGCGACAGAGAGGGAGAGAGAGAGAGAGAGAGAGAGAGAGAGAGAGAGAGAGAGAGAGAGAGAGAGAGAGAGAGAGAGAGAGAGAGAGACACGACCGGCGAGCGGTCCAAGCGCCGCGCCCTTAACGAGGTCATGTGCACTGAGCCGGGCAGGACGACGGCAGGACGGCCAGGGCCGAGTCAACTCGGCGAGCGCAGAGATATATTTCATTTCCACCGTGAGAGCAACCTCCCAGACTCCCTCAGCGCAACGGGGGGACGCGGCGGGGACTCTCCAGGCGGCCGCGGCACAGGGGCCTCCAGGGGCCTCCAGGGGCCGCTCGAAGCATCAAGGGCCAAAACTTGAGCAGCATTCATTACTCTCCAATTTGAGAAAGAATTTATGACTGTACATCCATCCAGCACTACGCAGCCCTTAGACCTTCGCCGACAAAGCGGTTATGTAAACAAGTTTTGCCCCCCACCCCTTTCCCCATCTCACCTTCCACTTTCTCCAACCCTTCCCCAATCCCCCCCTTGTTTTTCTTTGGTGGGGGTGAGGGGAGGGGGGCAGGGACGCGGGTAGGAGGGGGCTAATTAAAAGCTCTCACCGACTTAGTTTTGGTCGGGTTGGCAGCGCTGTTCGGAGCGTTTTCTATTAAGTAATTCTCGAGTGCAGCGCGGCGGCGCGGCGGCGAAAGCCGGGGGAAAGGCTAGCGTCGCTGGCAGCCTTTCGGCGGCGCCTTTCCAGCACGGCCAGCCAGCGCCAGCCAGCCAGCCAGCGACGAGTTAGCGGAGTTTGAAGCTAAGTCATCAGGCTTGTCATCCGATTACGGGACATCGCCGAGCGCCAAGCGAGCGGAGAAAGGAAAGGGGGAAGGGGTACACAAAACGACCCCGATATGCTCGTCGCCCGTGCTGGTCGCGTCGCCGTCACGGCGTGGGTCGGGGCGGCTCGATCAAGGCTTCAAAGGGGTTGCGACGCTCTCTCTCTCTCTCTCTCTCTCTCTCTCTCTCTCTCTGTCTCTTTCTCCCTCTCTCTCTCCTCTCTCCACACACACATGTACACACACACACACTCGCACGAAAATGATGCTCCAATTCATTGGGCAAATTTACGTCGGCTCCGCCAAAGTGGACGCCATAAACAACCCGATTAAGCGGCTCGGTTGAGCGGTTGAAGGCGCAGCCAAGGCGAGAGGCCAAGGCGCAGCGAGTTGGGCGTTCGGCTCGCCCTGCCGCGGCCCGCCACGGCCCGCCACGGCGCCATGCCTCATTAGCGCCGATAGTCAAACTGAAACGGGGTGAATAGAAAACCGCAGCACTTCGCGAGGAATAAACCTCCCCAAGGAGAGGAGAAGACGAGAAAAAAACCCTCAATGGAGGCACGCGCTGGTGGCCTAGCTATCCGCAACCCTGTTTGGTTGGGCTCGAGGCCCCGCCGCCGCCACCGTGGCGGTACCGCGCCGCGCCACGCCCCGTCGCGCCGGGGTTCGTGGGTTCAACTCCCGGCGACGGCGGCGCGACTCTTGGTTTTCTCGCCGTTCGTCTTCGTCTGACAGCGCTGGGAGTGGCGGCGCAGCAACAGCCGCCCCTGCCGCTTAGTGGCCTTCCTTGTTTTCACCATGACCGCCCGCCTCCCCCAGTTCTTTCCGCTTCGCCCCTCGCCCGGCGTGCTGCCGTCTTCCAATGAAAACCCTCCGCGAAACGCTCCGCGCCATTTAATTTCTCCCGCCAGATAAATAAATGGCTTCCGACGCAAAAAGGCCAAACAGGCCGCGGATCCGTTTATCGCTCCGCCTTGCAGTGCAGCGCCGCTGCGCCCCGCGGCGAGTCCGGCCGACGGTTTGCGGCCAAACACAGTGGATCCCGAAAAAGCGATCCGGCTTCGGGACGGTCCGGGAGCCCTACAGTGCAGCTGCACGCGGCGCGCGCGGCGAGACGGCGCCACCACACTGCCGGACCGCGCAATAAGCGCGCCCAGAAATTAATTAAAAGGCCGCCGTGATGTACGAGGCGCGGCAGAGAGAACGGAATCAGCGCGCACTTCTTGACTCCAGCACCAAACAAGATTATACAAAATTACTGCGAGGGAAAGCAAAAAAGAGGACGGAATGAAAAGAAGAGTGCGCTGCTCCCGTCGTCTGCGACTTTGTCCGAAGTTGATGTGTCCCAGTAAAGTGAGCGTGCGTGCGTGTGCGCGCCAGGCAACCACACGGGGGGCAGAAACTTGTTATGCCAGACTCTGCAGGAAGTCTGTCGCTCCTTTCAAACTGTCCCCAGTCTGCGCATGCGACTTGCCCGCGCGCGCGTGTGCGAGTGCGAGAGAGATGGGGAGAGCGCCCCGCGAAGGCGCTGCCTGGTGCGCCACTGGTTACTGAATCACTTGACTTGTTGTCGTGATCAAAGCGCCAAACTCCGAGTACACGCTCCAACGCTACAATGCGCGACAATGTCGGAGCCGCCGTGGACATTCCGAGACTGGGGGAAAAGGGGGGGGGGGAGCGGAAGGGAGTGCGTCTGCGAAGTTGAAGGACGTCCCGACGGCCCCCACTAGTCACCCAGTTTCGGGCACAGGACCGCTCGCAGGCTCAGCCCGAAGGGCGCCGAAGGGCCTGGTCGTGGTCGGAGTGCTCCAGGCTCAGGGCGGCCCGAGCGTGTTCGCAGTGCTTCGACGCCGCAGCAGCGCTCGCACTAAGCCACTCAGCCAACAGCAGCGCGACTCTCCTCAGACACTCGGGCCAAGCCCGGGCCAAGCAGGGACAAGCCCCAACAGTCCTTCGTCAAAACTATACACACCGTCCGTCCGCCCGGCGTCGGGCCGTGCGGGGCCGTGCGGGGCCGTGCCTTGACAGCGGGTAAGATGTCCACCCCCTCCCCTCGGCCCCCGGTGGCCGCAAACTTAGCATCCCCCTCCCTTCCAGCGTCCCAGTGACGAGGAGCGCTAATTCGCCACGACCCGGGACCGCCAGGCCGCCAGGCCGCCAGGACCCAGGTCGCCGAGAGGCGCTCGGCTCCCCGAAGGCCCTGAGGCCCGAAGGCAGCCCGAGCGGCAGCCGAGTCGCGCGCCTTGTTCGGATTATCCATCCGAGCCGGCCGACGAAGCTGCTGTGAGAAAGCGAGCCGCGCCGTGCCGCGCCCACGGCGAAATGGGACTAATTCCCATCTCTTGAGATCTCGTTAGGCAGAGGGATGCGCGCGGAAACGCCACTGTGAAAGGCGTAGAAGGCAAGGACGCCGCGCCGCCCCGCTTTGGCCTCGCCCGGCCTCGCCACGCGCCGCGCTCCGCGAGCGCCTGCCAACGGCGGGGTAGGCCGCCCGCTCAGCGGCCGTGCGCCGCCCCGGCCGCGCTGCCTACCTCGCATTACCATTACCACTAGAGGCTAGGCCACACGGCACGACCAACAACTTTAAGAGCCGGCGTCTCCCTCACCGAGGACGTCATAGGGGCACGTCACGTTTTAAAATTTGATTTCCCATGAAGCAACATCGTCGTCGCGGCATTAGCGGGTTTGCAGCTCCATGCGCCGACTCGGTGACTCACACGACGACGACGGGCCCGTCCCGGTCCCCCACCACTCGCAACTTAGTCGCCAGCGAGCCTCGTTGGCTGCCGTTGGCTGCCGCTGGCTGCGGAGCCGGAAGCGTCCGAGCGTGACAGAGTGGCGTGTGCGAGTGAGTGCGCAGGCCGCGTGGGGCCGAGGAGCAATGCGGTGGGACAGGCAACACAGAGCGCTCGCTGCAGCGGCCGGAATGCAGCAGGCCGCGTGAGTGTGTGTGTGTGCGTGTGTGTGAGGGGGCCGGAACGGAGTAGCTCAACGCGGACACCGTGTACCGGATACCGAGAGGGAGGGAGGGAAGTAGGGGGCGAGGTCCGACCCACCGCCACCCACCACGCGCTCGCGCGGAGACTGTCAAATACGAGTCGAAAAGATGTTTCAGGACCAGCGCGCGGTGCGGGACTGCCGCGAACTGCTGCTGCGAGCGCCGACGTGCTCGCCATGGCAGCCCACACACACAGGCGCACACACTAACTCACACGCACGCAAACAACCAGCACCGTTTCCCCGCTGCAGCGACGTGGAACTCGCCGACGTGTTCCTGGCCAGCAGGTGGCATTCCCCAAGTTGTTGGCATGCAGGGCGCGAGGCGGCGCGAGGCGAGGGGCCCAATCCGCGGAGGGCGGGGAGAAGGTGGCGGTTGGTGTTGGCGGGGTGTGCGAGAGGTCAAGGGGGCTAGGTGCGCGGCCAGGCCACGCGGCCAGGCCAGCGCTGCCTGCAAAAGGAGCCGGCCTGCCCCCCCCCCCCCTTTCCCCCAGCGGCCCTCCAGAGTCCG